GAATGGAAGAAAGAGAGTAAGAGAGGATGAGGAGAGAGGGAGGTGAGAGAATGGACGAAAGAGAGTAAGAGAGGGAGAGGAGAGAGGGAGGAGGAGAGAGAATGAAAGAGAGTAAGAGGAGAAAGAGGTGAAAGAATGGAAGAAACATCGTAAGAGAGGGAAAGAAGGGAGAGGAGAGGGAGAGGAGGAGAGAGAGATAATGAGGAGGATGTGAGAGGGAAAAGAGTGGGAGGAGAGTGAGAATGGAAGAAAGAGAGGAAGAGAGAGAGAGAGAGAGAATGGACAAAAGAGAGTAAGAGAGGGAGAGGAGGAGAGAGGGAGGAGAGAGAATTGAAGAAAGAGAGGAAGAGGAGAGAGAATGGAAGAAAGATCATAAGAGAGGGAGGAGGAGAGAGAATGGAAGAAAGAGAGTAAGAGAAGGTGTGAGGCAGAAGAGGGAGAGGAGAGAGGGAAAAGTGAGGGAGGAGAGAGAGAATGGAAGAAACATAGTAAGAGAGGGAGAGAAGGAAGAGAGAGGGGAGAGGAGGAAAGAAAGAGGGAGAAGAGAGAAAATGGAAGAAAGAGAATGACAGAGGAAGAGAAGGGAGAGGAGGAAAGAGAGATAATGAGGAGGAGGTGAGAGGGAGGGAGGAGAGAGAGAAAAGAGAGGGAGGAGAGAGAAAATGGAAGAAAGAGAGTAAGAGAGGAAGAGGAGAGAGAACGGAAGAAAGAGAGTAAGAGAGGGAGAGGGAGGAGGAGAGGAGGAAAGAGGGAGGAGAGAGAATGGAAGAAAGATCGTAAGAGAGGGAGAGAGGAGAGGGAGAGGAGGAGAAATAAGAAGGAGGCGAGAGGAGAAAGAGAGGGAAGAAATAGAGAATGGAAGACAGGGAATGGCAGAGGGAGAGGTGAGAGGAGGAGGGAGATAAGAAGGAAGAGGTGAGAGGGAGGAGAAGAGAGAGGGAAGGAGAAAACAGGAGAGAGGGAGGAGAGGGAGCGAATGGAAGAAAAAGAATGACAGAGGAAGAGAACTGGACTGGAGAGGGGGAGGAGGAGGTGAGAGGGAGGGAGAAGAGGGAGACAAGAGAGGGAAAAGAGAGGGAGGAGGGAGAATGGAAGAGAGTAAGAGAGGTGGAGGAGAGAGAGAAAGGAAGAAAGAGAAGAAGAGAGGAAGAGAAGTGAGAGGCGAGGGAGAGGAGGAGGGATAAGTATGAAGAAGTGAGAGGGAGAAGAGCAGACAGGGAGACAGAGAAGAGGGAGGGAGAAAGGAAGAGAAAGAAGAGGGGAGAGAGAGGCGAAAGAGATGAGAGGAAGAGAAAGGGAGGAGGAGAGAGAAGGAGAGCAGAGGAGAGGATGTAGGGAGGAGAGAGAGAATGGAAGAAAGAGAATGGGAGAGGAGAGGAAGAAGGGGAGGGAGATAAGAAGGAGGAGGTGGGAGGGAGGGAGAAAAACAAGAGAGAGGGAGAAGAGCAGAGAGGGAGGAGAGAGGGATAAGAGGGAAGGAGAGAGAAAGAGAAGAGGAGAGAGGGAGGGAGGGAGAGAGGAAGAAAAAGAGGAGGGAGTGAGGAGAACAGCGAGGGAGAGAGGAGAGAGAGGAGGTAAAAGGTTGAGTGGCTTGAGTTACATGTCGAATCTGTGAAGAGGCGACTCCACAATATGCACATGAGTATTTCTGAATACTAAAACACAATGCTGGATCAATCGGTATCCATGACAACAAGCAGGTGACGGACCATCCAGCAGAAAAAACTACGCAGTCTGTTTCTAATTTGCCTGGCCAGCACTGCGCATTGGCTCAGCGCATCATCCATTATCCAGTTCATCAAGAGCCCGGCTGTCTGGACGACTCCCCCCAAACCAGAGCGCCGTGCCCGGGCTTTGACACACGAGCAGCCTGGTGGGGGTTAACCTCGCGGGAGTTAAGTCTGTTGGGGATTAGCGCAGGGAGTCCGCCTGGACAGCAGACTCAACAGCCCGCAGCCAGTGTCCTCCCACCAGCACTGGCACAACGTCAGAAGAGCTGGAACCAAAACAAAGAGAGAATGATCTAATCCAGTCTTTTCATGGTGTCCCCAGCCTCTACGGGGGCCCGTTTGGGACACTCTCCACATAAGAATAATAAGAAATACATGTTTTTATGTAATGCTGGCTTACTGGAGATGGTTGGATTAAAAAAGGATTTCTTGTTGAGTTGTTTTGACCGCCTATATTCAGGTTAGGAATGAGTAAAGTCATTTCAGAACAGCTTGATTTAAATATACTCCACTCCCGGGTTATACCTACCATCTTTTTCAGACTACAAGTCACACTTTTTTTCAGTTTGGGTGGTCCTGCAACTTATACTCAGTGTGAACATTTTAATATATAAGTCACACTGACAGCCGTGAGAGGGCGCTCTAGGCTTGTGTGCCTGTATCTGCTACTCCTATTCCTCCTGTACCAATGTCACTCAGCGGCGGACCGTGCGTTTCACACCTAGGCCTTCAGTAGTAGCACGGAGAAGAAGTGAGAAGTGGGTGTACGCGAGGATTTACGTGGTTCGGAGGGACTTAATCAAGGCGGGGGCCACTTGTTGTCAAGGCGGCCGCTTTATCTATAAAGTGCTGCAGGAAACACTGATGTCTCCAGTACTGTCTGATAGTGACCTGTGACATGAGGGACCAGGACTAAACCAGAACTGCCATATTTTCTGGGCTATTAGGCGCTCTGGATTATAAGACGCACTGTCATTAAATGGTCTATTTTTGAACTTTTTTCACAATATAAACCGTACCGGACTTTAAACGAAAAACAACAGTTTGATGGGTCAGTGGGACTTTGTTTGGCGCGTTCACGGTGACTCTGGGCTTCGTTCAGTTGTGGAGTGTAGGGAGGGTGCTGTCTGGGACCGCTGGATTGTTGGCGTGTTCGCAGTGTCTCAGAGTGGCACATTGGACTCGCTTCTTTGGTTTGTCCCTCCGTTCCACTCCTCATCGGCGTGGAGTGATGAGTGTGGCTGTGGGTGTGTTTCGCTGTGCGGTCGCTGTCTGCTCTGTGTGTGTTTGCGTGCTCTGCGGGTGGTGCGGCTTTGTAGTTTACTGAAGTCGTGCTGGGACACCCGAGTGGATTCGTGTATGGGGCGCTCTGGATTGCGGGGCGCGCGGCCGTTTTTTGATGCGGTTAGAGGCTTAAGAGCGCGCCTAATAGCCCGAAAAATACGGTAAACCAGGATGTCGGGACGGGCCTGGAGGTGCGCCCGTGTAGACGCGAGAGACCTAAGGCACAAAGAGCTCCGGGTCCCGCGGGGCTCAGGGCAGCCGTCGCCCGATCGTGCTTTGCAGACACCCTGCTCTACAGACTCTGGGTTCTCTCTCTTGCTCTCTCGCTCTCTGTTGTTTTTACTATAACTTGCCTTTGAAGATGAAATGTCAGTCCCTGGTCTCTGATTTTCAATTTCCCCCAAAAGTGCGACTTATACTCTATAGTCCATAAATATGGTACACATTTTTTGTGATTAGCTGGGTTACATTGTTGTTTCCTCCTCAAAAACATACCTTGACTTGTGTTCTGTTTCATTCACACATGTTTGAGTCACTGAGTCATTATTAGTCTGTCTTCATCTCCAAAGCTCAAAATGCTCTGTTCCACCTTGTGATGTCATGAAGCAGTTTTCATGTCAACAGCCACTTCTCACCTTTCCACTAGATTGGCAATTCCACGGCTGAAATTATCCAAATGATTCTAGTGAAGGTCCATGGAGCTGTGTTAAACATGTGTGAAAGACGTTTTTGATGAGGAAACAACATTATAACATAGATCTGAAAATAGCGTAATACGGGCCCTTTAAACCAGAATGTCAGTTGAAAGTAGAAAGGGGAGAGATTTAGGTTTGAAATTTATATCCACAACCTTTTCAGTGATACAATATGACACGCCATGGTGACCTTTCAGCTGTCCTTCACACTGTCTTTCCTGCGAGCCTTGCAGGTGTTCAGATCGGTCGGTAAAGTTGCCAAGATTGCATTAAGGAGGTGGCTGTTACTCAAAAATACTGCGCAAAGTGAAATTAGACATGTCCAAGTAATGATAACTTACAAATGACTGCAGGAGCTGATGTAACCTGTCTTACAAACATAAAAATAAAACATAACTAGTCGATTTGAACTGTTTCTGGAGGTTCAGACTTACTCCTCACTTTCCTTGTGCGTTCTGAGCATCTTAATTATTCACCATGATGAGTTTATATGTGCGTTTCACAACTTTCAAAGGCCAAAGCGGAGTTTTGTTCTGCTAACAATAACTAGCATGCTAATTTGCCTTACTTCCTGGTTCGTGGACAATAAAACGCTTTATATTTAGAAGCAAAAACCCACAATAGTCTCATTATGATGCCACACCTGCTTTTACACGGTATCTGTATTGAGGCAAAAAATATCACACGAGGTGCACTGTGTAACTTTCTGGGTGGATGGTTCGTAACCATGGAGATATTGTTGCTTATGATATTAAATTCATCTATTTCCATGGAAGCAAAAATCATGCCAATTTACAGGTCCAGTTTGTGGAGAGGTGGGCCCACTTACAGTAAATGCATATTTTTTCAAGGTCGTGTTTTATTGTAAAAAAAAACACCTATATTTAAATAATAACAAAGTTTAATGCCATACTACAGTACATTCCAGGGAAAGCAATCGCCCTAGTATATCTCCATGGACACAACCAGGTGCTGGACTTGTACCAGAGAAGTTACGTATTGCATAGTGCACTTTCAAATAACAAAAAATCTTAAAATAACTTAATTATCCAAAGATAAACTAGGCCAACAAGTAATATTCAGGTTCTTTTGTGTGTGGACAGAAGTACTCAAACAATGTGTGTGGAAATGAAGTAATAAAACATAACAATAAAGAAAATCCTAATTAAATGGACTCCAGTAAATGTAACACAGCAAAAATAAAAGAATCTGCGGCCTCATAATCATCATGTCTCGGTCAGAGCCCCCATAGCGGTGCGTTTTGTTGTAAATACTCTTCAACAGCTCCTACCTGCGTATGGGACCGGGGCGTCTTTGTCCAGAGCGACCAGTGGAGGGTCCAGCAGCACCACCTCCGTGTTCTCCGTGATCACCCCATGGTACGAAGTCTCAATCCACGGCTTGTGCTTGTTCACTGTGGACACAAGACAGAGAAAAAGGTCAGATTTTATTTTATTATTGTGTGTTATTGTGTGTTTTTTAAACCAGATGCTCTGATTTAGTAGCCTGATTCATCAGCCGGATTCACTTCATGGAAACCGTCTGACCTCACAGCATTAGGACTTGTTCACTTGATGGTAGGCGAGTACTTTTTTTATTTAACCAATCTCTGCTATTTGGTTGTGACGTATGTAATACACTGGAACACTCAGTGGTGTCCAGGTAAGTGATGGCTTCACAGCTCTTCACTGATTGGCCGGTGTGTGGTCTACAACTTCTGGGGTTCTTGCAAACCTTCAAGTGTATTCCGAGTCCTGACCTAGTCGCTGGAGAGAAATTAAACTGAGTGGAGGCACTAGGTGGCGCCAGTCTGGCTGCTGATTTAGCATCCTATCTTCGACAGGAGCTGTTGGAACTGGTAAAACAATAATGAAACAATGCATAGCACACTCAGATGGCCATTGTCCAAAAGCTTTTTTATTTTTAAAAATAGCGTTTCGGGGAAAAAAAAAGCCTTCATCAGATATTTTTCTTGCTTTGGACCACAGCACGGAACTGCTGAAAAACTGGAACTGGTAAAACAACAATACTACAAAGCACTACTACTCCCACTAGCACTACTATGACTATCAAGTATGGACAATAAAAATGAGTGGGGTAAATGACTGTATTGATTGTATTGATTTTATTTTATTTTTTTTAGAATAATGGCTTCATTGTTTAAAAAAAAGTGAAATGTTGTGTTCTTAATGAGTGAAAGAAGTTAACCTTTTATACAAGAAACATAGTGGCAGCATAATAGGCTCTATTCATGCTTACATCACAAACCAGGAAGACGTTTGGAAACCAGCGGTGTAGTTCCCGACACTGGGCTCGCCAACCGACCGTGATACATCTTTTCTAATCGCATTTACCCAGTGCACTCGGAGTTGAGCGTCAGTGGGGAAATGATGAAAACTGAGGTATGGCTGTAACTGTTGATTAGCTGAACATAACGGAACACTACAATGACATGGAGATGAAGAAAACTGGGCCATTTTCTAATTTTTCCTAGAACAAAGCCCGCTGGAAGTTGTAATCACATCTTTCCAAACGTCTTCCTGGTTTGTGATATAAGCGTGAAAAAGTGGGAAACTGCAACAAAATTTTAAAAAAAGTATTCAGAAGCAGTAAAAATAAATGGTGTACGTTAAAGTTACTATATAGACAATTACATGGGGTTAATGCTAGCTGAAAAGTAACCACTACTGGAACATCTCAAATAATTTTTATAAATTGCCACAAACTTTAACGAAGTGCTCCAAATATACTGGTTAACATTCATTTTTAACATAAAAATGTACTCATATTGCCACTCAAACGGATGGAAATGAGGAGACAGGTTCAGATAGAACGAACAACAAAACACATCATGGACTGATTGACATTTATCAAGCTAGTTGTTTTCCTTCTGACTAAATATATGATCAAAATCAGGACTAGCACCCTGTAGCAGGCTGGATGAACACAATATAAAACAGTTTCGACACAGAGTCTATTAGTCCAAGAGAAAGGACCTTTCAGAACACACTATTTTTGTCACAGGTCTATTCAAATGCCATGTGGTCTCTATGGTACTGAGAACACAGCTGCATTCCTCCATAGCTCCTGCATGTATATTTCCCCTATACACATTTCACTAATACGTGTGTTGTTTTCTTTTAGGCCTCTTTTTGTTCCTTTTCTTATTTCAAACAATGCCGCAGGTCTCGGAGCTCGGTGCCATGGTTGATCAATGGGCACCGCTGCAGCAGAGCACTGTACCAGGCCAGAGTCAAAGCAGTTCACGCGCCCTGGGTCTGAGGAACGGCCATAATAGAGTCTCGGCCACATGGGGCCCTGCAGCTTTTTCACTTCACTTACTTATTTACTTTAGTTCTACATCCAATAGCACGAGACAAAGAAATGCTCAGAATGGGACTGGGTAAGAATTGTAATGACGTGTTGTTGCCTTGGCACCCACAGAGTAACTACTACCACTACTAACTACTGCTAGTACTACTACTACTGCTGCAACTGCTACTTTGTTGTTGTCTTATGCATAACAACAACTATTTCTACAGTGACCACCCTAATGTAACTACTAACTACTAAAACTGGTACTTAATACTACAACCGTGACTACTTCTACTATTAGTGCTACTGCTACTACTACTGCTGCTACTATTACTACTACCACTGCTGCGACTGCTACTTTGTTGCTGTCTTATACATAACTACAACTATCTACAATGACCACCCTAATGCTACTGTTACTACTAACTACTACTACTACTACTACTACTACCACTACTGCTACTTTGTTGTTGCTTTATAAATACCTACAACTCTTTCTACAGTGAGACCCTAATGCTACTGTTACTACTAACTACTAAAAGTGGTACTTAATACTAAACTGTGACTACTTCTACTGCTAGTGCTACTGCTACTACTACTACTGCTGCAACTGCTGCTTTGTTGTTGCCAACTACAACTATTTCTACAACGATGACCCAAAAGTAATTACTAATACTATTGTTACCACTACTAAAACTGGTACTTAATACTACAACTGTGACTACTTCTACTACTAGTGTTATTGCTACTACTACTACTACCGCAACTGCAACTGCTACTTTGTTGTTGCCTTATACATAACTACAACTATTTCTACAATAACCACCCTAAAGAAAATATGAATATTACTGTTACTAATAATACTACTAGTGCTACTGCTACTACTACTACTACTGCTACTCCTCGTATTGCTGCGAGTTCTACTTTGTTATTGCCTTATACATAACTACACTGTTTCCTACAATGACCACCCTAAAGTAATAATACTGTTATCACTTACTGCTAAAACTGGTACTTAAAACTACAACTATCTACACCTACTACTACTCCCACTACTACTACTTCTACTCCTGCTATGCCTAATGCTACTGTAACAAACATACATAGATGGTACATCTTATTGGTAGTTTTCAGATTCTAGAGTGTGATGTGATCCCAGATGGGGGTCAAGGATTACAAAGTACTTCATCATGAAAGATCCATAATGTAAATTCACAAATGTTGAACCTGATCATTTATTTTAGTGACTAGATACTAGAACAACTCACTGTATTACAGTGACAATCTGCATTTTAGCAATATTCATTTAAGCTGCCTCAATCTGTATAAAATATTATTGGCCTATAGAGTGTTGTGATGTCATCTGAAACCCAGTAATCCACCTTATTCCTACTCTAAATGCTCCTAAAATGTGCTTTTTGTGGCGGCACTGCCACTTAAACAGAAATCCCATTCATGCCGATGGAGAATTTGGGAAACGTTTTGCATCTTAAATATGACATAAAGTCGGTTCATTTGTGTAAAATGTTCAATGTTCAAGTGCACCAACAAATAAACACTGCACAGATTCTCAGGGGGGGCTTTAAAGTGGCTTTATAGTCTGAACTTTTTTGCTGTAAAGATCGGCAGCCCCACACAAAATAATACAACCTGAATGATGATGGTGACGCCCACGGCAACTTTCAGAATAATGTGGACAGAGATCAGATTTTTTTTTAAAAGAAAGAAACTCACTGAAAGCACTGAAAGACATTGCAGACAACAATCGCAGAATGAATTACAGGAGCACTTAAGTTTAATTTTGCTGTAAATAATAATGACCAATGAGCTTGTTCCTTCAAAGCATTGCTGTAATAACGATTATGCCTCTACATTAGCATTAGTATTAGCACTGAGAAACAAACATCTCTCTTTCTAAACACACAAGTGCCCTCCACTGATGTATGCATTTTATCAGAGGTGGGGCCAAGTTGTTGTTTTGCAAGTCTCAAGTAAGTCTCAAGTCTTTAATCTCAAGTCTGAGGCTATGTTTATATGATGACGGTATGAACAGAAGACCAAAAGTGGCGTTGCATCTTCACTTTTTATTCCGAGTTTAGACGTGTGTTTTTGGGAAGAAATCTGCGTGCATACGGTGACACAAATGTGTGTGAAATTTAATTGGGTATGCATGCTGGGTTTCTGTGTACTGTATGTACGTGACTTAAAGGAGTATGTGACGTGAACAGATCTGACCAGAGTTTTGCGTCTTGGGCAGTGTAGATGGAAATGTTACAGTGGAGCATATTCATCTTTTCCACTCTGGAGGGTGGTTCCTTATATTTGGTTTCTTTAAACCAAATATAAGTTAGATTTTTGCATTTTAAATGAATCATAAAGTAAATTGTACTTAAAAAGTCATGGTATATTTATATATGAGTATATATGTATATATGTATATAAGAGCTGTAAAAATGCACATTTTTCCTTTTTAACTGTCTTGCCAAGACCTTAGTATGAATTATTATGGTCAGAATAGAAATAATTAAGATTTAAAAGTGCTTAATAACAGCTATTTTGTCATTAAGTCTGCACTGAAATAGAACAATCATGTTCTCTGTAGTTCCCGCTGTTTTACTGTATTGTACTTTATATTACTGTACTGTACTGTACATTATTGTATTATTGTAGTCCATTTGAGGATACCACATCACAGTACTTCAGTTACTGTTGCCATAGCAACAAATACAAAAATGTCAGGGACATGTTCCAGTTTGTTCCTGTAAAATTAAGCACCACATTTATCAACTGAAGAGAGAAAAGTATTTTCTAAAAACATATTTTTTTTGGGAGAAGCATCAAGTCTTCTCAAGTCACAGGCCTTCAAGTCCAAGTCAAATCAGTGACTTTCAAGTTCAAACTGAGTCCCAAGTCTTAGTCCATTTTATCAGGTCAAGTCTCAAGTTCTAAAAATAGTGACTCAACTTTGACTCGAGTCCACGTCAAGAGTTACAAGTCCCCACCTCTGTATTTTATTTGTGTACTTTTTAACATGTGGTCAGTTAAATCACCAACAGCTCCACATTCACTGCCTTATCTTTAAATAGTTATTCATTTCAGCATTACTCGG